CTAGCTGTGACTCCTTTTGCACTTCCTGATATTGGGGGGAAAGCTTCCAAAAATTGCTCTTGTAAAGGTCTGTACAGCATGAAAACTTAATGTATCTCCTTGCAGAAAATGAGGCACTCAGCTGCAGATCTCAGACCCTGGCTTGCCAAATCCTTGCACCAGACACAGTGTAAGAGGCAAAAATCATTTTAGTACAGGGAAGAGAAACTGTGCAGACCCCAACATGGAAGGGCTGAGAAATTCCTTCTGGCTTTTTCTAATGTAAAAATTCAAGGAATTCTGAGCCCTGAGGGGAATTGAGGAGACATCCAGGGGGGGGTGGGGGGGTGAGAGAAGAAGGAGGTAGGATGTAGAGAGGACAAAAAGTATGTGCCATAAAGACAGACTAATCCAATGACTTGGAATGAGGGTATTGTGCTGCCTTATAAAACAGTTCACAGATTTACTGTCCATCAGAGTGCATAACTGTATTAAACTGTTAACAACAACTCAGTGCAAAGTTAACATCTGCACCAGGCAGCAGCTCAGCTTCCCTCAGTATGTGAATTCATTGCACAGCCTTTGTAAGTATGGAGCTGAGATCCATCCCTCTGACACATGCAAAGCACTGTCAGCGCTGGCCCCGTGCACTGCAGCCCTCCCTGCCTCAGCTTCAGCAAAGAAAAGCACCATTACCCAAAGCTTCTGCTCTGCAGGGGGTTGGACTTGGGATTCTTTCCAGTTTTGTAATTCCATTACTGGCGAATGCAGAAGATATGATCAGGTCATAAAAGCAGCCACAAGATTTACCTTGCTAAGTTCTGTATTTATGTTCATACCTGGTTTCAGGCGGGCTGGGGATCCCCACACAAATTCAACACCCCAGCAGTGTGGAATTTATATGACATGGGCAGTAGTCAGTTTTGCGCATCACAGCCTCATGAGATCAGACTCCCTGCCTTGTCTGAACCTTCCTCCTTCCCCACTTGAAATGAGTGGCTCGTGGGCAGGTCTCTAAGATCACAAGTCTTAGATAGGAAGCTTTGCTTCACATGATTTGTTCTAATCTTGCCTTGCTGCTGGTGATTGCAAACTCTCCGCTGCTAAAGTTCTGCTCCCTGGGGCAAGCTTCAAGCATGTGCTTTTATTAAACGCCATTTCGAGATAATAAGCTTGGCTGGCTGATTTTGGCAGGTTCGTCTATTTTCTCTGTGGCCTTAAAAAGAAAGACTAAAGAAGTGCCAAACTTAGGAGATCAGTTCTTTATTACACACACTTAATGCCCACTTGTTTATGTAGACCACCTCTTTTTGCTTGCGTAGCTCAGTGCAGTTGGATTCTCTGCCCACAAGTGAAAACTAGAATGTCCTGGTGGACACACAGAAGCCTTCATGTCTTGTCAGTCATCTGAGCTGCTTTCTAAAGGAAAACACTTGGGACAGGTCTGTTTTGCTCCTAGCTGTTGTTTAGATATTCTGGACCTCTTTTAATTACTTCTACTTGTAATTCCCATTCTAGTGACATCAGGTTGGTCTAGAGAAAAAAGGAAAGGCAGAGCACAAGAGATAAGAGGAAACCTCAAAATAATGGCGAACTTCAGTAGAGCTTACTTCAGTGTCCTTCTCACACTGTGAAAGTCAAATGCTGCCTCCTGGAAATTTCCTGTGTAGTTTAAAAAAATGCAGATTACTGCTGCTGCCCCCAAAACTGCTTTGCAACGTGAGCTGAAGCAGTTCCTCATTCATCCTGTCCTTTTCTGCCCAAGTGACCCTTGCTGCATATATTTGCAAACATCTTTGGAAGCAAAAGATGTGTTTCATCTCTGAGTGAACACAGCGTATGGCAGATTTTCACCTTCCTTCAAACTGCACTGGCAATTTGGAAGACAAGCTTATGAAAAAGGCAGCCCACCTACCACTGACTGAACCTAATAAACCCCTGTGCTTGCTGGAAACTTTTTGCCCTTGTGTATCAGCCCACTAGCAACACAAGTATTATATCCAAAACCAAACTTGATATATTGCTTCAGATTGAAGTAGATTGTGCAAACAATTCATCATACAGTCAGCAATTTAGAGAACATGTGAAAGGAACACGTACCCTGCTGCTCTTATTTAGATTCATGTGTATTGGCAGACCAAGGAGGACGTGTGTGCAGATAAATATTTTTGAAATTTTTAAAGAAAATATGTGAAGTTCTTGTAACAGAGACCTTCAACAGGTTTGTATTCCTAGTACTCTTTTGGGTACGATGCTCATTTTTAGAAGCTCAGGGAGCACTGAGAAATACTTTGCATTTTTTTCCTTCCTTAAATAGATGAATTAGTGTAAAGAGATTTCCAGTTGGTTTTAAAAGTGGCAGCTTCGGGCAGAGCTGCTCATATATCACAATCTTAAAAAAAGTCTCCTCTGCTTTTTATAACATTTTCCCACAGTAAAGCAAATATTTAGGGATAACACCAATTAAGAGACGTATTTTCAGTTTACTGGGACCCATCAGCAGCCCATAGTGTGGGCTCTCCAGTCCTCAGCTTCTCAGAACTGACTGCCTCGGAGAAAGGCAGAAGCACAGCCTTACTGCCTCAGTCTTTGCAGTGGTGCATCCTGCAGCAGAGCCTGCAGTAATCTATGCAGGAAGCATCCTAGCTGGAAAACTTGGGAGGATTCTGAGCTCCCAAAGCCTTTGATTTAGCTACTTATATGTGGCATATTTGAAATGTGTCCACTAGTAAGCTAACTCTGGGCAGCCTGGTCTGGTGGCTGGCGACCCTGCCCATGGCAGGGAGGTTGAAACTGGATGATCTTTGAGGTCCTTCTCAACCCAAGCCATTCTATGATTCTATGATTTGTGCATCTATTAGTAGAAAAGTTGCAAAATGCAACAAAGAAAAATGATTAATTTCGAATTTATTTTAGTTTCAAAGGGAACAAGCAGGATCTAATTGTTATTTTGGAATCTGGAAATGTTAGTTTTCCAGGATTATAACACTGAAATTACTGTGTTTATTCCAATACCTGAAAACATATTTGGATTGCTCATACATCAAAAACTTTTGGACAGTAATATCAAGGAGTAAAAGACATTTTTCATGCAAGATACAAGATGTTGTCAGCATCAGTCATTCTTTGCAGGCTTTTTTTTTAAGGGCTACCTAAAACTTACATCAGCTGTTGCATCTCCATTACTATCACTGTAAAAAGTATTTGGTGGAACGGCCCTAACTGGTACAAAAAGGAGTTCAAAAGAAGCTACAAAATGAACAAAAATAAAATGGGTATTTCATGATACCTGTAGAACCATCTTAAGAAATGCAGAGACACATGAAGTATTTTGAAGGTATGTTTTATGATGAGGCAGGAAATTGTTAGGATGAAGTTTGCATGGTCTCTCCTTGTGCTAAACATTGACAAAGACTGAATGAAACAAACTGGATTTATCAGGAGACCATCCTCTGATCTGGATGCACTTTATGGCGAGGCAACTTCTGTCCTCTGGCAGCCATGGCACACACCTCGGTGATCTGCTGAGCAGACAGGCAGGAGGCAGTGACACAGCAGCTGCTGTCAGGCACAGGTACAGAAGCAGAGGACACCCCAACTCCTTTGCTAAGGTTGGATAAGAGCCACCAGAGCCTCCTTTTTCTCTTGGGTGCCTGGAAGTCTTGACCTGAAAGGCACCCCTAGGGCTGGGCAGCTGCACTGCTTTCTCGCAGCACCTTGGGTCAATGTCTTTTCCAGCTGCAAAGTCTTCTATCTGCATTGCAGATAAAATTGTTGGGATTTGAATCAGATTCAACTTCTTCAGCATAACTTTGCCTAATTTTCACAAAGATCCCAGAAAAGGTTTAACCTACAGCCTGCAGGATAGATCTCTGCCTCTTTGGCCTTGGGAGGTCAAACAGTGATTAAACTCCTTGCAGGAGATGAACTTTGAGGGAAAGGTGACGGAGGAGTTAACACCTCACTAACATCAGTGCTATCCAGAACCTTCCCACTTCCTGGCCCTCATTCAGTTTGGCTTCCAGCCTAATTAGGGCACTCAGACACTGTGCTAACAGATCATCTTTACCTAATGATGGACAAAGGTCTGACAGCAATAATGCTGCTTCCAAATCCATCACCAGCCTTTGCCTACAGGGACAGCTAGTGATGTGCCCATCTTCCTTTCCTCATCACAGCATGCAGGCATTGCCTTTCCTCATCCTTCTTTGTGCCTGGCACCGATGAGACAGTGAGCCCAGACCAAGTTCCAATGCTGTTAGCCCCAGAACTATCAGGCAAGTAGCACTGGTGAATGAGGAGCCAAGGCAGCACTGAAGTGCAGGCAGCAGGCCTTTCACCTGGCTGCCCCTGCGACGTCTGCAGTGCTTTGCTTTTCCCTGCTACTCAGGACACCTGTGGCAGGACAAGCTTTCTCTCTTCCACCAAATACTTGCCGCTCGTTCTGGTCCACAAAGTCCGTGGTGACTTACAACTTAGTGACATTCAGGCTGGATCTTGGCGACATGCCCTCTGCACGCAGCCCCTCCAGCCTGCAGCCCCCAAAGGCAGACAAGCCCCGCGGGGCACACACTCGGGTTCAGCTCTTCGAGTGCAGGGAGCTGAGGGAAGAGCCGGACAGACACCTGAAGTGCGCTGCACCGGCTGGGATGCACACATCACATCTGTGAATGGATGCAAAGAAACCAAAGAGACTCCCCCCGCAGTACGTCCAGAAGCGACCCTATTAAAACCCAACGACAGACAGACGGCAACGCGCTGGAGAAGGAACCCTTGCGCTGTGAGACGCGTTCCCTCGTGCCGCCGGGAGGAGCTCCTGTAACTCGCAGCACGACGCGCGGTGCTACGAACGAAGGGCACGGCGCCCCGTCGCGGAACGCTCCCGCCCGGCTCCCGCCCGCCCGGCAGCCCGCGCTCTCCTCAGCGGCCACGCGCCGCCCCCGCGCCGCCGCCCCTCGCGCCCCCCAGCGGCCGCCGCCTCGCGCTCGCCCGGGCGGCCCTCCGATCCGTGCGGCTCTTACCGAGCGTCAGCAGCAGCGCCTGCAGGGCGCAAGCGGCCAGCGCGGGGCTCGGCCTGCCGAGCATGGCTGGGGCGGCGCGGGGCGAAGCGTTCTTCGGTCTGTCAGAGCGGGCCGTGGGACGGGACGAGCGGAACGCGCGCACCGCTCCCACTTGTTGGCTCCGGTTAAACTGATCTCGCCATTCACCGCTCCGTCCTCGCCGCCCGTCCTTTCTTCTCCAGGCGTTCCGCCTTTTCCCTTGTCAGAGCAACTTTATCCCTCGCTCTCCCCGTGCTTCCTCCGCGCCAACCGTCCCTGCGGGGAGCCGCGCTCCGCGAGGGGTTACAAAGCGGCTCCGGCACCGCCGAACTCCGGGAGAACTTCCTCGGGCTGTGCGGGGCAGCGCAGCGGAGCGGCGGCGCGCGGTTCCCGTCCGGGCGGTGCAGGTGCGCCGGGGCAGCGCCGCTACCTGCCGGGGGGCGGCCGGCGGCAGGGGGGCATGGCCGGGTGCCGCCCCGTGCTTGGCGCTCCCCCACCCTCCGGGTCCGGGTGGCTTTGCTGGGAAGTTTGATGCGAGCCCGGGATTCTTTATAGGGACAGGAAAAAAAAAAAAAAAGAGGAGGAAGGAGAGACGTCACCAGCCCAAGCCAAGGGACTTCACTCGCTCTCTCCCTCTCCCTGTCATTTCACAGAACTCCTGGATTTCCTGTTGCTGCTGCTGCCGCTTGAGAAGGGGCAAAGAAGCGAGCGGAGCTGTTCCCGCCGCCTCCCGGCGTCGCCCGTCCCCGCACGGCCGGAGCTGCGCGAGCATCAGGTGGCAGCGCCTCGCACCGTCCTGCCGCGCTCCCCCGACGGCAGGGAATGCCCGGCCCGCAACAGAATCACTGAGTAACACCCCCCGCCCTGGGCACGGGGTGGGGAGCGCGGGGCGATGCTGCTCGAGCAGCAGGCTCCCTGCCGCAGCACCCCGCTGCCCCTGGCCGTTCGGCAGGTCGGGCTCTCCCTGTGCTGCTCCCTGTTCAGCCCTGTCCTGCTCTGCTGCCACTGCCACTCAGCTCTTCTTGGGGCACAGTGAAAGTTTCTTGTCCAAACAGAATATTCTGGGCAGCCCTAATGTCATCATTTACATTACTCAGCTGCTTCCCTACTCTCTTACGGACTTCTCGTAACATCTGCTTCTGTGTCACCCAAGCATTATGTTCGGGCATTTGGGTGGATAGATCGGATAGATCCACCCACCATCGAGGCCTCCTGCCTGGCCCCGCGCCTCTGCTCTTAATATGCCAGGCAGGAGTGGAGCAGAGTGAGCACTCCCGTGAGGTTTTGGTGGAAGACGCCTTTGCCTCGGGACAGCTCAGCCTTTTCCTGGTTCAGCACTGCTGCTTTAACCACAGGTGCCTGCTGCCAGGGTCAGAAAGGCACCCTGGGGATGTTCCTGTGCGGAGAAGGGACACTTGTGGAAATGCAGCCGGCATTCGGGTGACAGGAAGGAGCTCCTCTGTGCTGTCCTTCTGGCAGTGCACGCACCACTTATGTGGCTTTTTAAACATGCAAACCACTGCACTGTGCTGATAATGAGAGTGTGGTGGAAGACTCACAGACTGTCAGTCCTCATAATGCCACAAATGAGACACTGGGATTAAATGACCAATTACAGTGAAGCACTGTCAATCCCCGTGGCTGAATGCAGGGTTTGTTTGCATTTTTTGTTACTCTAGCTCAGTTCATCCAAAGAGAAGAGATAGACAGCAGGTGCATTAGGGCCTTATGCTGAATGTATATCAAAGGTTTCAATGAATCTGAACTGTGATGAGGATATTAGGAAGTTTCCAATGTCTGTTTCTATTATGCTTCTAAATTCTTAATGCATGTACTGGTATATGTGCTACATCAAAATACACCGGAGCAAAGTGAGACGTAGATATGGTTCTATGACTTACAAATTCATTAGTTATCCTGCAAGGGAAGTGGGTGCATCGGAGGATCAGAACTGATTCCTGGTGTAGAATGTTCCAAATTCAAACAACAAATTGAACACAGAGTAGCCCCTAATAATTCTATGTACTAGAAGCATCACTTCTTATTTACAATATTAAATCAGGAATGCTATTCTCAATATCACGTGATGTCACAGTTAATGCCAATTTTCCTATCAGTGCTCAGATCATTCTTAAGATGACTAAGTGTATTTTCTATGCCTAGAGTTTGTTTTTAGGACATAAAACTTTCCCTGGATCTGTGTTACAGGAATGGACTTTTAAATAATCATGGATAATAGCAAAGACAAATTGTACACTAAGCTTAACTGAAGAATGAAGATTCTAGCTCAATTATGGAACTGAATGGTATTTTTGGCTTGCAGGGAAGCATTCAAGAATTCATTGGAAGTTATAGAACAGCTGCTAGCAAACTGTGTCGTGTTTATGTCATGCTCCAAAAAGTCTTTTATTTGTTGATAAATTTAATTGATCATTTAATTGAGACCAAATGCCCATGGTGTGTGGCTTCACAAGGAATTCAATCTGAGAACCTGGCCAAATGATTCTGGGAATTATTTTGAATTCTTTATTTTCTCCCTCAAAATATGCCAAGCCAAAAAGAAGGTTGTAAGAATGTCATGTTTTGGTCCTGAGCATCCTCACATGCCTACAGCAACCAGTTAGAGCTTTCCCAAAGCACAGAAGACTTCCCTAAATGACAGATTGTTCCATTTGTACAGGTGGAAAAAGCAATTTGCTAAGCCAACTTGAACCTCTTCAGAGTAGTACAGGTCGTTTTGCTGTGACAGTTATTCCATCTGAGGGCCGCAGAGCTCCTTGCTGATACTAATGAACGTATTCACAGTACCTGTGGGATCTGAAGTTGGGCTAGAAAAAGTCATTTCACTTCATTAATGAAATGCTCTTACCTTTTCAGAGGCACTTGGCAACTGTGTCAGTATGGCCATAAATATATAAAATAGTAGTATAAAGAAAGCGGAGGGAAGTCTGGTGGAAATACCAGACAGCAGGGATGCTGGGCAATAACCTGCAAAAATCTGGCCAGAATATCAGGGCTGTGGCCTGGTGTACCATGAAGTACTGGATGTTTCATAGGGCCAAGGCAGCGTAGTCTCAGACCTGTGCTAACTGCAGACTCTGAACATGCAATTTGCTTGGCTGTTCCTCGGATGACCTTCAGCCTGCTGATGGCATTGGCCCAGTATGGAAGACCACGTGCAGTGATCCCTTTTGTTAGCTTGGAAGAGGATGGTACCTGAGCTGGGCAATTCTTCACTTAATCTTGCCCATCCTATGTAGGTCTGTATCTAGGAAGCACAGCAGAAGGGATGGCTGCTTATCAGAGCAGGACTTGGATTTGGCCAGCATCTGTGACTGCATGCTGTATTTAGCCTTAGCCAAAGGTAAAACCCATCTGAACTACACATAGCCATCCAAATGTTAGTTGTCTCATCTGGGCTGGTTATCTGGGCTGGCCTGCTTTAGTGACTGCAGAGATCCTCTTTAAAAGAACAGCTTATCCAGTGTGTGTGATGCATCTGTTTTACAGACTTTCTTTGGCAAGTGCCCGCTTCCTTTCCTCAACAATAGTGTAGGATTGAGGCAAGTTTGCCCCATAAACCTAAATTTTAGCTGGTTAGTTCTGCCTGTGTCTTAGATAGAGACTCTTAAGTGATAAGACAGCCTTTCTTGTCAGCTTGTCACATTTTCCTGTGTTTGTAGTCTATAATAGGGGAGGAGAAGTGTAGTGACTACCTTTAAAGGACTGTGAGTTGGCAGGGTCAGGGATTTGCATTTCAGTGTGCCATATGAAGCAGTTCTATATCATTTTCCCAAGAAGACCTAAAATCCTTTTTGAATACATAGCTTTCCATGTCCTGTAAATCCAAGCATCCTAAAGAGGTGGTGGAAACAGGCAGGGCATTGCAGGAGGGCCTTGCACTTTCCTGCGTTGTTCTGGGATGAAAAATGTGCATGAGTTCAGCTACATATTTGACAGGAACATAAGGTACCTTGGAGGCATACACAGACTTCCAGAACAGGCGTGAAGCTGGCTGTGTATGGGTCCTTCAGTTAGTAAACAGGGTACGCAGCCCATCCCCAGTCCCACCTTGTCTCTCACACAGCGAAGCTTTGCCAACTGTAGCTGCCTTAATCCTAAGGAGAACTGCAGGACCGTCGCTGGGTGTGCCTCTCTCCACGATCTGGTCAGGCTGTCTTTGATTCACGCACATCCTGTAGTCCCTTGGTGATGTAAAGACAAGTTAACATTGGCAGTCTGTGTGCAAACAGGGTGGGGAACTTTTTGATGAAAATATTTTTCATTGGAAAACGGCATGCTATCAAAACATCAACTTTCTGAGGGAAGTCTCAGTTTGGAATTACTTCTAGGGATGTAGCTTCTGGGAGGAAAAGCACTGTCCCAGACTTGCCTGCAACTTCGTGATGCCTTGTGATTTTAAGACTCTACCCTGAATTAGGTTAGAAAACTTTATTGTGATTTCCCATGTCTTGCAGGAGTCCTCTATTCAGCAAATCCATTGACTGTCCTTCGGCTGCTGCTTTCAGCTTCTTGCAGACATGTTTGCTTACTTATTCTTTTGTTTTGAAAAATATAGAAGGAAAGGCTTCGTGAAAACCCCATTCAGCTTTTCTAGCTGGGAAAAACATTTCCTGCTCAGCTTTTGTTCAAATTCACAGTAGTACCATAGGTGAAAGCTAGCAGCAAGAGATGTGGGGCCACAGAGCCACGGACGTGTTTCTCATGACTTGCTGCTTCTCTGTGGGATGGCAGCTTCAGAGGGGCTGAGCAGGAAGCACACGCAGTTGTTTGTTACAGAGTCTGTATGCACTTTCCTCCTCTACACACTAAGGGAAAACAAGCCAGAGAAAGGTTCAGTGAATCACCCCAAATGCAAAAGCTGGAAGAGATCTCAGTCACCTCAGCAGCAACAACAAAGCAAAACTTAAAGAATATACTGCAACCAACTCTATTTTTGTTCATAAATTGTTAAGTATGAGGTGGTTTTGTTTTGTTTTGTTTTCTTCCTGTGTTATCCATCCCTGACTACCCATGATCTGTTACCCATCCCTGACTAGCATCCTAGCAGGTTCTTCCTGACTTTCCAACTGAGACTGCCTGCTTCTGCCACTCCTGTCCCAGTCACAGCCTGCAAGCTGCTCTCCTGCCAGGCAGTCCTACGGCACTTGCAGTGATGGAGAAATGTGTGGACCTGCCTGAAAACACCTCTCAAACATATGTGTTCAGCTAACGGAGGAGAGCAGAACATCTCATCCTTCTGTTGGAAACGGGAGATTAAAGGATAAAGATTACGCACCTCCCATTATTTGTCGCTTTGAACTGCAGTTTGCTCTGTAAAACTTTAAGTGGGGAAAAGGTGTGATGTTCC